TCTCTCTCTCTCTCTCTCTCTCTCTCTCTCTCTCTCTCTCTCTCTCTAGGGTTTCTTTGTGTCTGAGAACACTGAGATTAAAGATGTGTGCCACCACTGCCCGGCTACTTTCGGAGTCTCATTCAGTATCAGACATACCCAGGAGCCAGTGAATAGGGGGAGGGGGTCACACAATCAAACCGCTAGCAAACAGCTAGATCCAGTCCTGGGCAATCCCAGACACAGGCTCATAGCTTGTCATATCCTTTCCTCAGGTAGCAGCAAGCAGTCTGAGAAGGCAGACAAACTAGCAGACTCAATCATAAGCGGGCACCCTGCAAGCTGTACAGGCAAACCAGAGTTACAGAGAAGCCACAATCACGGACCGAGGTTCACCCTAGCCAGTGACAGACACACAAGTCCACCAGTGACAATGCACAGCCCAGCCAGTCAGGATTCTCGGTCCCACACTCAGGGAGTCAGCGGGCCACAGGCAAACAATTCAACTCTGTTATCCAGAGTCACCAACTAATACACACTTGCCTCTTCCCGTTATAGTCACATAACTTGCTTCTAGTGGTACAACAAAAGGACATCCAGACACAATCGTGTTGGAATGTCAGTCACACATGGAGTCACAGAGCCAAATCTTGGTCAGACAGACATCCACAGACAGACACACTTGGTCTCTGTTCGATAATGGGGTAGATGTCCACTCAGATTCAGATGTCTGCAAGCAATTAGTCCAAGGCTCTGGCCCAGCCCTGGTCAGCCCACTTGCCCTCAGCACCTGCCCTCATTTACCTGGCTTTGCGTTTCTTGCTGTAGTAACAGAAGACAGACAGAAGCATTAAGAGACAGGCTCAGAATTGGGAAGACCCAGCCTTCTACCCAACCCCCTCACTGCTACACAGGGGCCTTGAAGGCTGTGCTCACTTGCGAAGGAGTCGGTCACCGTCGAGGGGGATGAAGTAGGGGAAGAGGTAGGGGCCCACACAAGTGGACAGTACAAGGCACAGCAGGGCCAGCGCCAGGCTCCGGGCCACCTTCTTCAGCCATCGGCGGCTCTGTGGGATCAAGGATCCATGAGCACTGCCCCATGGCGGCTCCCACAGTCCCTGCCCACCTGGCCACCCAGGAGCTCACCAGTGGGCGGCCTTGGACAGCCTGTAGGTAGCTGTGGAAGGATATCCAGGGCCCAAAGACGATGGTGCCCACAAAGTAGAGGTAGCCCATGAACTCCACAGGTGAGGGCACTGCACCCACCTCGCCCCGGTCCAGGTCGAAGCCCAGAGACACCGCCTTCATGGCCACGATCATCTGGGCCCCTATGTGTGGGGCCCATGGTCAAGTGTATGGATAAGAAAGCATGTCACCATGAAAGATAGGGTGCACCACGTGTGAGGTGAGAGGAAAAGGGAGACACAGTGATAGGTAGAAAGAAACAGAGACACAGATGTCAGGGGAAAGGGAAGCCTGCACTGGATGGTGGTTGGTTTATGAAGGGGAAAAGTCCAGGAGGGCTCTTAGGAGATGAGGAGGGCAAGTGGGAGGGCAAAGCTACCCACCTCGCATCTTGTGCCATGTCACGGTGTCCACCATGTGCATCTCACTGAGGAAAAAAGGTGATGGTCTTGGCCCTATGCCTCCTAGGGCTTTGGACACTACAGGGGGCCCTGAGGTATTGAAGGGGTTCTGCCTTCCTAATCCACATAACACATTAAGAAAAAAATCCCCAGGACCCCCTCCTCCAGGGGAAGCCCATGTTCAATCTATCCTGTACAGCCTCATGGAAGGACATGTGTTCCGGGTCTCCTTCAGGAACAGTTGTCACCCTCTCTGGTATCAACTCCTTGCAGAATGATGGTCCCTGACTCCTCTCTTTCCTTAGAATCTCATGGCATCCTATCTTGGACCCACTTCATCAAGGCCTTGGGGACCCCGCCTGCCTTCTGCCAACAAGAGATAGGGTGAGGATGCACACCCATACCCCATGAGCAGGTAGATGAGGATGGTGACGGAGAGGAAGACGCCTCGGTGGGAGGAGTGTCGGCAGAGGAACAGCACGAGGTAGCACAGGAGACTCAGCAGCACGACCCAAACCATGTGCAGCTGGAAGAAGTGGTAGAGGCTGAAGAAGCCACCTGCCACGGTGCTTGCATGCTTCAGGTAAGACGGTAACCCTTAGGGTGAGAGGGAGAGAGAGGGAGACAGAGACAGGGAGGGAAAACAAGAAGGCGGGAGGTTGGTAGGCTGGCAAGAGAGGAAGGACTTGGGCAATAGGGCCCAGTCTGGGCAAAAGTCTAGAACATGCTGGAGTCTAAGGGGACCCAAAGGTGGTATTGGAGAGCTAGCATGTGTGGCAAGGCCTGGATTTAAAAAGCAACATCTACTAAGGCTTTCAGGGACCCCTGAAAGGAAAATTATCAATTGATGTTGGACAGGATTGCATCCAGATTAAAATCTCACAGGAGTGGGGATGACGGATGAGGCTCCGTATGGGGGGAGGGGCTGTTCTCAGGGACCGTATACTGAAGGACTTGGGGTGAAGGGTCATGATACTATCAGGTTATTGAAATGATTCAGAAAGAGGTAGGCGAGATAGAGAGGCAGGAAGATAGAGCAATCTATTGTGGCCAATTGAACCTATGGCTATTGCTTTCTATATGTAAATATATATCAGCATTCTTTCATCTTTTCAGTAGCTTTGATATGTACCAAAATAACAAACCTGGGGGGGGGGGGGAAGAAAACCCACTTAAGATGAAAAGGAAAGAGTTGATTAGAGAACCTTTGGTTTTCAGAAATGCCTGTATCCTACAGGACACCCGGGGATTTCAGAACTTCTCATTTGGATACTTGACTTTGCTATGCTTGTAGAAACATTATAGAATCCAAGAATCCCGAAATTTCACCATGGCCTGATTATAGACATTCATAATGTCAACATTTTGGAAGTCCAGCATGTGAAAATTTCAACCTGGCAGACTCTTCATACCTAGTAACTAGGATGCTTTAGGGTAGGATACTTCCAGGATCTGATGGATAACCTTGGAACTTAACAGTTCAGGATCTTACCATCCCAGAGTGCAGGCACGCTGAAGGGCATGTCTTGGTTTAATGGGATGTGGCTTGCCATAGTGTGGCTTGAGGTGGTTGTATGGCAGGAATGTGTTGTGGTGGAAAGGGGCTTAGCTTAATGGGATATGATGGGGCTGGACCTGTAGGGGCCTGGCTTGCCGCTGCAGAATGTGGCATGATAGAATGTGATAGGGTAAAGTATAACTTGATATCCATGAATGTGACAAATAAGATAAAATCTGATGTGGTGGAACACAGTCTGGTAAGCACTTACCCAGCCTCCAAAGGAGGCGGCAGGCGAAGCAGACGGTAAGAAGCAGCCAGATCTGGTCAAGGCCCTGTTGGACAGTAGGCAGGAGACAGCCCTGCAGTAGCTGCTGGAAAAATTCCTGGCGGCTGAAGGTGGCCATTGTGGACCCACACAGATGGATGGACAGATGGAGCTGCCAAACGGAGGACACAGAGGGAGTAAGATGTCCATGGGGCTGCCCACAATCAAGGTTTGGATTTGAGCACTCAGGATTTCAGTTTGGGGCTGCCAACCCCCCAGGGTGCTATTGGAAGGCTTTGGGGAGGATGTGAATCTCAGGTACATCGGCTGAGCCACCAACTGTGATATCAGTGGGTGTTCTGGATGCACTGTGACCCGCGGGGAATGAAGGACCTTGTGTATCTTGAATGCTGTGACAGTCCGGCTCAATGATGACAAAATGATATGCATTCTAGACCTATATATCAAATGGGGCGGAAGAAGTGGGCTCCTTGGTTTCCAAGGTAGTCACTCAATGTGGAAGTGCAGAAAGGGGGAGTCTGTGACACTTAGGGGCCGTGTGCATCTCTCCTTGTATGGATGTATCCTCCGCGAGCTTCATCTCACCCTACCCAGCAAAAAGCCGCTAACAAAGCCTTGCCCTGGTCGAGAGACTGCAGGAAAGTGGATGCGCTGGCAGGGGACATAGCAGGGAGGGAGTCCTATAGGTGATGCGGACGAGGTCCCAGGACAAGGGGTACAGATCCGCGCCCCGGAGGCCAGCTTAAGGATGGGAACGTGGGAGCCGCGCGCACAAGGAGACCTACCTGGCAGAAAGGAAGCCGTGGTCCTGGGGGCCGGGGACGCGCACTGCTGCCACTGTCGCCACCTCCTCCGGGCAGCCTCCCCCGCAGGCCGCAAGGCCGGGACCAGCAGCGGCTCCCAGGGCGGCGCGGCCGAGCGGGCCCTTTAAATCCCGGGGCGGGCTAGCAGCTGAGTTCCTCCAATCGGAAAGCGGGAGCGGGGCGGGGACCAGGAGGAGTGAACCCGAGCATCGCGAGGAGGAGCAGCAGGGTTGAGGGGCGCGGGGCGCTGGAGCACGTCGGCGCACAGGAGGTTCACCGGTGCCCAATTCAGGCCACATGCCATGCTAGCTCAGGAACGTTCAGGGCGCAAGAATTTCCCAACTTCTAAGAAAACACTTCCTAATGATTATTTTATAATCCTTGAGAACCAAAATGGAAAAGATAAGGGGAGGGAGGAGGCTAGCCCCCTTTCTGCCAAATGCTCGCCCCTGTGGTCCCTCTTGTATAGATACTGGTGTGACCCTAGTCACAGCTGGAAAAATAAGCCGCTGTTCCCTTTCCTATCTCTTGAGGAATCTGAAGGAATTTCCAGTCTTCCTTAGCCCCAGGGAACAGATCGAAGCTTTTGTCGGTAATGACTCTGTCACCTAGGAACACTCACTAGGTGTCTTATCGACCCCCTAAGGGCTAGCAGTAGGCATTTTGGTTTATCATTAACTGATTTTGCTTGCTTCATTCCTCAAAAGAATGGGCCCTGTAAAGAAGGTGACCTTAGCTGATATTAAGTGTTCCGGTAAACTGGAAGGGGACTAAAACCCAGCGGGGGGGGGGGGGAAAGGAAAACAGAAAAGAAAAAAAAGGATCTGATAAATGATAAAGATCTGTATCGGTTTCTGTGTATCAACAAAGGGTTTATGCAGATTGGTTCTCTACTGAATGTACAACGCAGTCGTGAACATTCAATTCTATTCTTAGGCTGATGAAACCTTCGACTCCGGAGAAGAGCCCATTTCCCCTAAGGCGCACTTATAGGGCATTAAGGGGCTTAGCTCCAAATGTGAATGTGAACTGAGAAACACACCCAGGTCAATCTTGACCTCATCCTGACCCCAGGAGCTAAGGAAAACAGGTTCTAATAAGATTAATGCCTGGCTGTATGGAGTTAAGGAAGTTGTGCCCATTCACTCTGGGCGGTGTCCCTTTCTGTTAAACAAAAGGGCAGGATTAGCAATTCTTGATTTGAAGAAACTGCTTGTCTCTGTCCCTGCCGTCTGAGGATGCAACCTATGGCCTTTTGCTTTGTAGGTAAATGCTCAGCCGCTGAGTTTTTATTTAACATGTCTTCAAATGGAGTAAATTCATAGTTACGTTTAAAAATAAAAAAAAAAAAAATTAAGCCGGGCAGTGGTGGCGCACGCCTTTCATCACAGCACTTGGGAGGCAGAGGCAGGTGGATTTCTGAGTTCGAGGCCAGCCTGGTCTACAGAGTGAGACCCAGGACAGCCAGGACTACACAGAGAAACCCTGTCTCGAAAAACAAAACAAAACAAAAATAACACCGTGGGTATGTATATATGTATATATACATAAATATTTACATCAGCTAGATGCACAAATACAACGTCCTTTCCTCTAATGTACAATACAGGGCTGGATGTCTCAATGGTTAAGGGTACTTGCTACTCTTGCAGAGGACCTAGATTTGATTTCCAGAACTCGCATGGTGGCTCACAACCAATCATCTGTAATTCCCAGGTACTCTTGTGGTATGTATTCATACATAAATATAAATAACAGTAGAATACAGTTGGTATGGCTGTACATGCCTTTCATCTCATTACTAAGAAGGCAGAGGCAAACTCTGTGAATTTGAGGCCAACCTGGTTCACATACTGAGTTTCAGGTCAGCCTGGTCTACATAGTGAGTGCCAGGCTTTTCAGGGCTACATAGTGAGACCCTGTCTCAGAAAAGAAAGAATTAATATCTAAATTTTGGGCCATATAAAGAACATGTACAAATTAATAAGAAAAAACTAGCTGGGTGGTGGTGGTGCACGCCTTTAATCCCAGCACTTGGGAGGCAGAGGCAGGTGGATTTCTGAGTTCGAGGCCAGCCTGGTCTACAGAGTGAGTTCCAGGACAGCCAGGACTACACAGAGAAACCCTGTCTGGAAAAACAAAAACAAAAACAAAAACAAACAAAAAACAAACAAACAAAAAAAAAACAACTAATAAGCACCAGACAACAATGGGTAGTGGAAGCAAACAGGCAATTAATAGCTGAAATGGCAAGCATATATATATATTCTGTACTTCAAAAACATGCCTTTTGTGGGGAGATGGGGGCAGAGTCTCACTAGCAGGGATTCACCTGCTCCTGCCTCCTGAATTCTGGGGTTAAAGGAGAGCACCACCACACCTGGCCCTTTTTATTCAATTATTTCTTTTGAGGCAGGGTATCACTATTTAACTCAGGCTGCTCTACCTGTGTAGAGCAGGGTGGCCCTGAATTCACAGAGATCTGCTTGCCTCTGTCAGAGATTAAAGGTATGCCCCACTGTGCCCACCTCTATTTTATGAAATTGTATTTATTTGTAAATAAATGTATGTATTGCCTTTTATGTGTATGGGTGTTTTGCCTTCATACGTGTCTGTGTGTCACAGGTGTGCCTAGTGCCCAAGCAGGTCAGGTCAGAAGAATGCTTTGGGTCCTCTGGGACTGGAGTTACAGTCAGCTGTGAGCTGAGCTGCCATGTGGTTGCTGGGAATTTAACCCAGGTCCTCTGGACGAGCAACCAGTGCTCTTAACCACTGACTTAGTCTCCAACCTACCTTAACTTAATTTA